AAAAAAAAAAAAAAAAAGCACTTTCCAAGGCCTGGCATACTGTAGCCCATAAAATATGCCAGCTTTTAGTATCATTGACAGTAAGGTATAATTAGCAGCCAACAGCACAGTAGGCCTAAATGACATTTTATGCTGTTAACATAATGTGTATGGCAGACACTTGGGAGACCCAAAATACATGTCAGCTCTTGATACAGTGAACAAGGTATATGTCACCACTATAGTGCCTGTCACCACAGTACCTCTGTTATTTATTGTACTGATAACAGGTATTTCAAACTAATATCCTGCCACTGTACTTGTCACACAGGAGATTGCTGTGTCAGCTATTTTTCCTATTAGATGGTAATTACCCCCATGAATTGAACCTAGTATACAATAGGTCCAAAATAGGCATCAGCTGTCAATACTGTTAAGGATGATCTATCTCTCACCCAATCCCCGGCACCCCTCACACAGTGCTTGGCATGCTGTAGGGATGGATGTCAGGAATTCATACTGTTAACAATGAAATGCCTGCCACCCGATTGCTTGGTGCACAGTAGGCACATGGTATCAACAACCAAGTGCCTGTCAAGCCTGGCACATGGTAGGCCCATCTGCTCTTAGCTGTCTCACCAGGCTCCAGATGTTTCAGGATTCCTCTCTTGGCCAAGCGGGTCTGTAGCGCAACGGGCAGCGGCATAGCTGGTAGCAGAAAGACCTAGGTACGGGCAGACAGACTGAAAACCAGCTCGGATCAGGATTCAACTCTAGATCCTTGACCAAGTGCCTCCCTTCAGAATGTACTGATCTGACCCCACCTATCCAGTTGCACCAGTAGCTGGGCGGACGGAACATACGCACTAAAAGAAGGAAGACATAGGGGATTATCACCAAAACTCACCAACCCGCCTCTAGAGACCAGGTTCTCCAGGACCCAGTTCCTCGCCCAGGCTCCACCCACTATCAAAGGGGTCAAATGCAATTCCCCCGCGCCCTAGAAATAGGCTCACCCAACGTCCTCCAAAGACTGCCGGGTGGGAGGAACCAAAGCGATGGGACGGGGGAGTGGAGAACAACAGCTCCTCCACCTCCAAAAAGTTGTGCCCACCCCAACGTTACCGATACAGTTGTGCAGATAATGGAAGGTTGTCAGATCGGCCACCTGTCCCTTATCGCCGCTAAGATCGCTAGAAACACACGACTCTTTTCTGACCAAGCACAGAAGGAGGTATTCTCTCCCCGAGCCAAGAAGTGTCTGGGCGACACTCAGGCGGCAGTGAACAGATGACGCAACCTCGGATAACCAATGAGAGTGCGCCTCTGGATTGATGTATAACGAAGTGACCCAATCGTTGTCCTGGAATCGGTGGAGAGCTCGAGCGCCTGTGTGCGTTTGCACAGGGGGCGTGGCCCGGCTGAGGTAGTGCCTGACTGCGCGCCCAGACGCCGGCGCCATGGAGGAGTACGCTCGGGAGCCTTGGTACGGCGATGGGCACAGACATTGGGACTGTTGCTGCAGCGCCAAGGCCAGCCGTGGGAGGCGGGCGGTGAGGCCCCGGCCACACAGTGCCACGTCCTAGACTTGGGGGCTCTTATTTCCTTCCGCTCCCCCCCCCATTTGGTTCCTTTCACTCGGGCTAAGAGGGACCACAACTTGTGCGCCTGGAGAAGGTGCGGTGCAGGGCGAACCACGCCACATTTTCCCTCACTTTATATCTTCTAGTTCCTTTGTTAAATGGACTCAGTGGTCGAATCCATTCAGGCCAGGGGGTGGCGCGATGTTGAGCGGAAATCCCCAGTTACCACGCGTGGTTTTTACCCCGGTCGCATTTGTTAGTGGGGGTGGGGCATGGATGAGCCTATTAAAGGCAGGGAGGAGGTGATGAGTTCCCCCCTCCGCGATCTGCTCTTGGTTTTTCCCAGTTGCGCCAGATTTAAAAGGGGGAAAGGGTAGGCAATTGGTTGGACGTGCTCCTTGTCGAAGAAGGGGTACAATCCTGTCCTGTTTCAATATCAATACTGGCTACGTCTGTAGGGCATATTGAAACGTGTTGATTCTTGGAAGTATCAATTTATTTGATCTTTGATAGTAGCAAAGCATGCGTATGATTCCTTAATTGGCTGTGAAGGGAAGAAGAGTACAGGGCAAATGTTTCTCCCCCTTTACTCCATTTCTCGGTTTAATGGAGGGGGCTGAAGCGACTGGACTAAGTCATTATCTGAAATGCTTCTTCCCACGCATGAAGGTGACTTGGTTTCTCTCAGTTGGAAACAGTCCATGTGAAGGCCAAGGGGAGGACTCACATTAACCCCTTCCTTCCCTTCCTCCTTGCAGCCCATGGAGAATTGTGGATGATTGTGGTGGAGCCTTCACTATGGGTGTCATTGGCGGCGGAGTCTTCCAGGCCATCAAGGGCTTCCGCAACGCCCCAGTTGTAAGTCCTGGCTTTCCTCTGGGTGGTATGGGAGTCAGGTTTCTTGCCCGTACAGGATATGGCTCTGAAAATTGCGCGGAGCTGACAGTCACACGCACTTACTCATTCTGGTGCTTGCTCACCTACCATGTGCCAGGCCTGGCTCCTGGGTCTAGGGTTTGGGGGGAATTGCAAGCATGACCCCTGTTTCCTACACACATACCCCAACTGGGGTTTCTCTGTGGAAATGCTGTGATGTCAAAATAGTCATCATATGGCTCGGCGCCTATAGCTCAACCGGCTAAGGCGCCAGCCACGTACACCTAAGGTGGCGGGTTCGAATCCCCAGCCCGGACCCGCCAAACAACAATGACGGCTGCAACCAAAAAATAGCCAGGCGTTGTGGCGGGCGCCTGTGGTCCCAGCTACTTGGGAGGCGGAGGCAGGAGACTCGCTTGAGCCCAGGAGTTGGAGGTTGCTGTGAGCTGTAATGCCATGGCACGCTACCCAGGGGGACAGCTTGAGGCTCTGTCTCAAAAAAAAAAAAAAAAAATAGTCATCATAAACTCTTAAATGTGTATGCTAGGCCAAACAGATTTTTATCTAGAGGCAGATTCTAGCTCAGAAACTTGGATAGACAGAAATGACAGGAATTTAAGTGGCAGATGGAGGACAGCCTTAAAGTTGAGAAAATCCTTTTAACATAATCAACTCTCTCTGACCCCCCCTCCTCTCCAGAAGATAAGCAAATTTCATGGCTTTAAATGCCATTTATTGGCCAAGGTCTCTGCAATTTTTTTTTTTTTTTTGAGACAGAGCCTCAAGCTGTCCCCCTGGGTAGAGTGCCATGGCATTACAGCTCACAGCAACCTCAACTCCTGGGCTCAAGTGAGTCTCCTGCCTCAGCCTCCCAAGTAGCTGGGACTACAGGCGCCCGCCACAACGCCTGGCCATTTTTTGATTGCAGCCATCATTGTTTTTTGGTGGGTCCGGGCTGGGGATTCGAACCCGCCACCTTAGGTGTACGTGGCTGGCGCCTTAGCCTGTTGAGCTATAGGCGCCGAGCAGGTCTCTGCAATTTATACCCTCTTTCCTTGACTCCTGGAACTCTTCTTTCTGGATTTTTGCCCAAGTTTCTCATTTTCAAGGTCTTAGCATAAATGCCCCCCTCCTTAAAGAGGCCTTTCCTGACTCCTCTGCCACAATCCTATCTCTTCTTGTCTCCTCTATATAGTGCATATTGCTGTCTGAAGCTATCTTGTTTATCTTACCCTTGCTCATGATTCTTCTCTCACTAAAATGTGAGTTCCAAGAGAGCAGAAACCAGTCTACTTGTCCACTGCTGTATCCCTGCATGTAGCATGGTGCTTGGCATATAGTAGGTGCTCATTAATCATTTACTGAATAAATTAATTAGAACTTCTCAACTGAGCTCTGAAAACACTCTGGGGTGCTCACCAGACCCCTAGTTCTTGGCTGCTTCTCCACATCTCTACCCCTGATAACCCCATCTCCTTCTTTGTCTTAGATACTGGAAACCCTGTCTTGACTCCCTTCCTTACTTTTCCCAGGGAATTCGGCACCGGCTGAGAGGTAGTCTCAATGCTGTGAGAATCCGAGCCCCTCAGATTGGAGGTGAGAAGAGCTTGAGGAGATATAGGAAATGTGATGGCAGAGTTAGGGGTGGATGATTCTTTGGTTCATGACTACAAAGTTGGGTGTCCAGATTCTAGTACCAGCTCTTCCTGGAACTTCCCAAAAGAGTGACATTTACCAGGAATTTAATATGGAAGGGTAAGAATGTAGGTTCTAGAGTTTAAATCCAGGCCCTAGCTCTTTTTTGATGTGTGACCTTGGGCTAATGGCTTAACCTCTCTGAACCTCATCTGTAACATGGAGTGATGATAACTGAAACTACCTCATCATTAGTTTTGTAGTTTATGTAATTTATATATTACTAAGTTACGGTTGCCTATGCTAAACACTTTAATAATATTAACTCACTTAAAATTGCAGAAGTCTGGGGCGGCGCCTGTGGCTCAAGGAGAAGGGTGCCGCCCCATATACTGGGGGTGGAAGGTTCAAGGCCGGCCCTGGCCAAAACTGCAAAAATAAAATAAAATAGCAGAAGTCAAATAATACACAGTATCCCAAACAGGTCCTGGCACACAGTAAGCCCTCAATAAACATTTTAACTATCATCAACTGGCTTTCCTAACTTGTTTCCTTCTCCCTAAAACCAAGATCAGAATTCCAACTCTATATGGTAATTTATGAAGATCAGAGTTGCTCTGTTAAAGGCCATATGAAGATAAAATCTGCTTGTAAATACTTGTCAATTCTCTGTGAAGGCAAAGGGAACATCAGTGGTGATTCTAGACAGCTTGAAGTGGGATCTACCACAGGATGAGGATGAACAAGGAATATTCCCTAGGAGTTTGATATCTGCCTTTGTATCTGGGTTTTTCCTCCTGTTCTTGGCCAGAGCATTCAAGCCTTGGAAGCTCCCAGGCCCCAACATGTGAATTCTTGGGATTTCCCAGGAACACTAATTGTGCCTTGGTTTTCCCCTACAGGTAGCTTTGCAGTGTGGGGGGGGCTGTTCTCTACCATCGACTGCGGCCTGGTTCGGCTGCGGGGCAAAGAAGATCCCTGGAACTCCATCACCAGTGGAGCATTGACCGGGGCTGTATTGGCTGCCCGAAGTGAGTGCCCTCTGCCCCTGACCCAGGCCCTTCTACAGTTATATGTGCCCTCACCTGTCTCTCTGCCCCCTCTTTCAGGTGGCCCATTGGCCATGGTGGGCTCAGCAATGATGGGGGGCATCCTGTTAGCACTTATTGAAGGTGTTGGCATCCTTCTCACTCGCTACACAGCCCAGCAGTTCCGAAATGGTAAGTACCTGGTAGACACTGGTGAGAGAGAGGCAGGAAGTGCTTCACCTAGCCTCCTCAGCTCATTCTTACCTGATTCTCCCTTCTGCAGCACCCCCATTCCTGGAGGACCCCAGCCAGCTGCCCCCGAAAGAGGGTACCGCAGCCTCAGGCTATCCCAACTATCAGCAATACCACTGAGGAAGCTGCCGCCTGCCACCACCACCACGGGAGCTGCTCCTCGCTTCCCTCCCCGCTTATCTACCTCGAAGGGAGGGCTGGCTCCCAGTTAGCCCTGGGACCCTCCGGAGAGGGCTTCTACTGTGTTCCCTTGTCCCAGGGTGGGGGTGGGGCACCCCAGCTGCTGTGACAGATGGGTCCCCCATTTCCTCTCTCAGGGCACCCCAGCCCCACACTCACATGTAACAAGCTCTCATCCCAGCTCCTTTGTGTGGCACCCTGATGAGTATTTAAAACCAGTTTTGAAATGCCTGTGTGTGGACTCCTTGGGCTGCCCACAGGGACCCTCCACAGGATAAGTAAGGTACAGAGCCCTTTCCAGGGACTCCAAAACCTTAGGACTTAAGAGTCTCACAGCAAGTGAGCTCTAGTAAATGTGGAATGAATGAGCAGAAAGGGAAAATGGACAAATATGTGAATAAGGGTATGTCGGACCACAAGCAGACAGAGGAACAGACTTGGGGAAAGAGGTGGGTGAGCACCTGGGGTAGAAGATAGGTGTCAGGGAGACCTGGCTTCCTCAAAGAAGGTGCCCCAGGTCCGTCTCCCCTTCTGCCACAGAGACACTTTTCTGCTCTCCTGTGCTCAGTGTTGTCAGTTTTTGTTTCTTTAGAACCACCACAAAAAAAACCAAATTAGTTTACATTTTAGAGTGGCAGAATTATAGATTTTTCTCCACAAGGACCTGGGGAGAACAGAGCAGAGGAGTAGAGGGGAAGCCCCAGTGAGGACTTGAACCCTATAGCATCACAGGCTTTTCAGCAGCAGCATCAGGCACAATCCCAAATACCGTCAATTTTTTTTTTTTTTTTTGAGACAGAGCCTCAGGCTATCTCCCTGGGTAGAGTACTGTGGCATTACAGCTCACAGCAACCTCCAACTCCTGGGCTCAAGTGAGTCTCCTGCCTCAGCCTCCCAAGTAGCTGGGGCCACAGATGCCCGGCTGTTTTTTGGTTGCAGCCATCGTTGTTTTTGGTGGGCCCGGGGTTGGATTCGAACCCACCACCTTAGGTGTATGTGGCTGGTGCCTTAGCCACTTGAACCACAGGCGCTGAGCCAATACCGTCAATTTTGTGTAAACTTCTACTTGAATAGGGTAAATACTGTCTCCACCAGGGTGCAACTGCCACAGGGAAGTGCAAAAGCTATGTGAGGAGTCAATAGTTTCCTCTGCACAAAATGGTCCTGTAGCAAATGGCCTCCTGAGAGACATATGTACTTTTCTTTCTTTTTCCTTTTTTGGCCAGGGCTGGGTTTGAACCCACCACCTCCGGCATATGGGTTGGGCACCCTACTCCTTTGAGCCACAGGCGCCACCCAAGACATACGTACTTTTCATGCAAGCCATTGCAAAGAGATGGAAATGCCCACTCCTCCTATACAAAACTGGTCCATGGGGATGCAAACGCTGAGTACCTAGGCCTCCCATCCTGGTGGTCCTAAGGATGATGACAGCTAAGATACCTGCTTGAGCCGCTCATTACCAGGCAGTGCAGGCCACTTGACCAAGGGCCTGGGGAGAACAGAGCAAGGAAGTAGAGGGGAAGCCCCAGCGGGGACTACAACCCTGTACCATCACAGACGCTTCAGCTGCAGCACTGGGCATGCCCCTAGAGACAGGGTGCCATTCAGACCCAAGGAATCCCAGGTCGTGACCTTTGCAGAATCTCAGGCCCACATCTTTGGTCCCGACCCTTCTGGGTCCTTCTGGCTGGCACTGCTACTCCAGGGCCTCCTACCTCTTATCTCCAGGCCTCGCCCAACTCTACGTAATATAAGGCACCGCCCACTAACTTCCAGGCTTCTTCCTTCCCAGAGTTCCCAGACTCAGCCCCCAGGCTGTTCTGGGCTCGGGCCCGCCCCCTTTCTAGCGCCGGGCGCTGCCCTGAGGCTGCTGCAGGCCCCAACTTCTCTATGCGACTCTGGCTCCTCGGAGGCCACGTGGCGCGGTTTCTTTCTGGGCCCCTCCAAGCAGACACTGTCCCTGCAGGCTCCTTGCTAAACGTAGGTTCGCAACCCTCCGCAGTCTACCTTTTCCCATCTAATGGTCCCGCCTCCAGCTACTGCTAATCACCTGGCGCTCAGCCTACCTCTACCGCCGCTGGGGTTGCGTTCGAGTCCCCTGGAACTCAGGGCTGCGGGACCCGCGGGGCCTTGGAGCGGTTCTCCTGCCTGCTTTCCACCTGGGTATCCGGACTGCTCTGGCTTGGCTGGGGCGGGGCGGGGCGAGGCGGGGCTCAGTGTGGGACGGAGTCACCAGGACCAGGCGGGACTATCACCAGGTTTAGAAGTGAAGGACCAGGCTTAGTAAGTGAAGCTCGGCGCCTCAAGTGGAAGTTGTAGGATGGTGGCGGAGTGGGGGATCTGTGAAGACCTGGTATCAGCCAGCATCACCCAGTCCCGAGATGGGGCTGGGAAGTCTAGGGGTCGTCGTCGTCTCCTGAGCTGGGGCTGGGCCTTCAGGCCCCGCCCTCTGACCTGACTTAGGCTCTGCCCCAGGCTGCTACTTCCGAGGGGAATGTGGTTTCACATTTTCGGCTGTTTCGAAGGGAAGGGACTACAGAGACGGAGGAAAATGGGAGAAGAGAGGCAGGGGGCAGGGGCTCACGCCTGTAATCCTAGCACTCTGGGAGGTTGAGGTGGAGGATTGCTTGAGCTCTCCAGTTGGAGACCAGCCTGAGCAAGAGTGAAACCCTGTCTCTAAAAATAGCTGGGCGTTGTGGTAGGCGCCTGTAGTCCCTGCTACTCTGGAGGCTGAAGCAAGAGAAATCAGTAGAGCCCAAGAGTGTGAGGTTGCTGTGAGCTATGACGCCACCGCCCTTTAGTGAGGGCGACAAATTGAGACTGTCTCAAAATAAAGAAAGAAGGAAGGAAGGAAGACTGAGGCAAGAGGATTGCTCAAGCCCAAGAGTTTGAGGTTGCTGTAAGCTATGACCCCTCAGCATTTTACCCAGGGCGACAGAGTGAGACTCTGTCTAAAATTTAAAAAAAGAAATAGGAGAGAGACTGAGACATGCACATAGGGAGATAGATGGAGCGGTAGAAAGACACGTGGAGGCAGAGAGAGACAAGGAAAAAGCGCAGACAGAGAAGTAAGAGTCAAACGAGGGTCAGAAATTCAGGTAGGGCTCGGCGCCTATAGCTCAACCGGCTAAGGCGCCAGCCACGTACACCTAAGGTGGCGGGTTCGAATCCCCAGCCCGGACCCGCCAAACAACA